ACGAAACAATAATAATTCAAATGTTGTTTCACGTCGGTTTTCTCTATGACGCCGTGGTATCATTCCGGTCCAGCCGAATTATTTGTGCTGAAGCATGGCTTTCCCGCACTTAGATTTATTGGATTGCACTGTAAAAGCTTCTACTGTTCATTTTTTTTATTCTTGATTTTATTCGATAGCAATAATATTATATCTGCATACAAATATGGGAAATCCTCGCCTCAATGAGCGACCCTGATTTGCGCTTTCCCGGTTTTATTCAATCTATTCATTTCATCATTTGTAAAGGAATTTTTGGCACAACAAATTCGTTGTCGGGTTACAAATTCAAAATTTCAAATGTAACGTCCAAAATAATTTGTAAAGATTTCTGGGCCCTATTGTCATATGGACCTTTGAAAAGTACATGCAGATTTACAGAACCATTTCTATTGTGACTAGATAATTGTTTTACACGTCGCAAATAAACATGTTTCTAAAAATATGGGACATGGACATGATACCCATCCTCGTAAAATATGAACGATTTGTTCCAAAAAACCATTGGTAAAATACCACGTCTTTGTTTAATGACTATTTACCGGTTGACAAAAATCAATTAGGTCATTTTACCTACTGTTTACCGAGCGCGCACAAAGGATGAACATTCTTTTGTTTACGGGATTAGAAAGAAAGAGAAAAAAGTATTTATTAAGTGTATTGTCATAGTATAAAGAACAAAGTAGGTTATCTTCATACAAATGCTCCGCGCGCGGCTTATATGTGTGCGCCGTAGTATCTATGCGTCGACGCACGCACACTTTAACAAAATCTCGACCCGTTTCTCAGTGCGCCAGGCAGGGCTAACACTGCACGAGGTTCGCGCGCGCATCACTTTTCGGCACTGTTAAATGAAATAAAAAATGTCTGATAACCGTAGAAGAACGTATTGCTGTGTGTTTGGGTGTCTTAATAATTAATCGATTCCAGAACTGTCTCTGTTCAGATTACCTATTAAACAGGAAAAGTAAGCTAGTCACTTTTTCTAGCATAATATAATTTGTAGGTACTTGATGATGAGATACCTACTTACTTATTCTTACTCTTATCATTCTTCATAGTTCCTACTCAACCAGAAATGTAATTACCTACTATACTTAAATATTATAAGAAAATGTGGTATTGTATTGTTTATTTCACAGTTTATCTGATTAGTTAATAGCGTGGCCGTGTCGCATTTTTCCATATAAATGTATTCCCAAATTTACTTTCTGAATACTATGTATAGAACTAAAGTTTATTTTAAGAAGTTAATAATTTTTATAAGCTTTTTTTTTTACTAAATTTATAAATTGATAAAATATTCAATCATAATATGCTTTTCATTTCATAAATTTAGATCAAGTGCTGCTTGTTCGAAAATATTAACTAAAAGTAAAAGTGACAACCCTGGGGATCAACGCAAGAGTAGGCTAATAACTCGGCGGGCGGCCTTAGATAACCTACTGTGTTCTTTATACTATGGTATTGTATCCTTCTATTGTTTTGGGGTAATATTTCCTCAAGCCTGGTTGATTTTTTCTAAGAATAAATGATTATTTTGTAGAGCTTATCTACACAATCACCTTAAAATGGTAAACTTGTTTTAGGAAAGTACGAAAGTTACAATTACGTGTTAAATATCGGTTGTAAATTGTTTTGTCTGAATAATGCCATGATGCGGGCACGAGACATTAGTTTTCGTATTGAGAATAAGTTATAAAGTGGGCGAAGTATCGTTAAAAAAAAAACAATGCCTTCTTGTTGTCGTTTAGCTACACAAATTTTATGAACCTTGTTTTGTCCTGTGTCGTAGGTGCGTTTACAAACATTAAATTTCACATACACATGACACCCAGACCCGGAACAACAATTTGTGGATCACACAAAGAGTTGTTCTATGCGGGAATCGAACCCGCGACACGTTACAGCTGCCGCATCAACCGTGCAGTCGAAATGAGATAAAGTCTATATTAACACGTGTTCGACATGGTCTTATATTTTGTCATATTTTTAGATGATGTGCACCTTATCTTGAACTATTCCAGAGATTGCTGGATTTGTTCATTCATTGGATTTATTCTGGATGTATACTTGTTAGGACTTATAAAAAGGTATGAGAGGTTTTAGGACAACATTTACTATTATTCTGGCTCATAATAAGGCTTGCAAAGCCTAGTAAACGACAAAATACATCGCCTATAAGGTATAGACGATGTTTTACAACTATATCCAAAGGGACCAGGGTTTATAGAACACCCACTTGTTCGTAATCCTATTGTAATTGAAGATTCTATCACTAGCAGGTTTAATTCTCGTCTTACGGATCGAGACCAGGAGCCGTTGGCTCTTGTTCGTCCACCAAAGATGCAATTACCTGTGTTTAAGATACAAACCAAAATACGTGATGATACCAAAGTTTTTCTTACCTCAAACCGCGTAAAACGGTATGCTAAGAAAATAAGAAAAATCTACACAATACCTTGTATTATTTACAGCATATATCTTACAGTGAACTAGTGAATTACTATAGTTTTTTGGTGTTTATAACTGTTTTTAGACTTTTTTTGGGTTTTCACAGTACATTGTTGATGGTCAGTGACATATGTGTTTGATTGATTTATCAGCTGGGGTGTGTCAAATGTCAGATTCTACTTGGCCAGTGATGATTCATAATGTTAGGAGCAAAGAGGTCTCTTGCACAACATGTTTTAATATTATGGTATCTGAAGTTGGAGCTGTAGTTTGTTTTGGTCTTTGGTGAACTTTGGTGATTATTTTTAGTGTCTACTTTTAATCTAAATGATGTGTTTATGTTTGTTTTTATTAGCTCTGTTTTTGGTCCGATGATCGTGGTAACTTCCCTAGTGTCTTATTGGTCGATAGTGGCAATCGGTGAAAAGTATTGTTCGCATTTCTGTTTTCATAGTTAATTTGAATCTGCTTTGTGGTGATTTGTCTTCCTTATTCAAAATTATCTTGAAGCACTCTTTAATGCCTTTGGTGTCGCAGGTGAACTTAAGTTTCGCTAAGCAATGGCCTGTAAGCTTTGTTGCTTTCGTTAGTAGTTATAGTTAGTATAATTTGGATATAGGTACCTAAATAAAACTGAAGAAGACTGACGCTTAGGGCGTCCGTATCTATGGCAGTAATCGTTCGATTTGAATCATTATTTTTGCATCTTCTAGACTTAACTATTCCTGAAGATGACTTTAGGATAGACGTTATGTTACTTATGATTAGGAATAGACGTACTAGCTTGAATTTGAAAGAGAAATACCAGGTTAACAAAAATCTATAGCTAACTAGACAAAATATTTCTGCATCGCGGATAGTAACTATTGTATTTGTAAATCATTACTTGCATCTTTATATAGGCAACTTCTCCTTATCAAAAATCGGTTGAACGTTTAATGATAATTAATTAAGAAATAAATAACTAAACAATATTTACTTGTAAATGTTATAGAATTTACATTTAATTAATACCTACTTTTGTGGCTATTCTCCATGACCTACGGCGCTGTGGTAATTTTTTTTATAAAATAAGGGGCAAACAAGCATACAGGTCACCTGACACAAGTGCCTTGCCGATTTGGGATTCTTGGGACATTTGAGGGTTGGTCGCGTTAAGAACAGTCGTAATGCATTAACGACGATCCCAATCCAAAATTGGGATCGAATTTTGACATCACATTTTTGTCAAAAACAAAATCTATCCAGCGATAAGTATGTGATTTTGGATTGAGAAAATCGACGAGAAACAACGTTTGCGTTGTGTTTCGTCCTGTGTGTGAGGTAACCAGAGTCCAAATTACCCTTCCGCAATCTCCGAATTCCCAACAATCCTCAATTCCTAAACCCCAAAAGGCTGGTCACGCACTTGTGATACCTCTTTCGGGTGTTCATGGGCGGCGCCGATTGCTTACCATCATGTGATCCGTCTTATTTACTGGCTTATTCCATAAAAAAACGATCGGTTAATAATTTGATCTCTAATAAGTAACCAAATCTACGGAGAGATAAGTGGTAGAAAATTTCAATCTAGTTAATCAAAACCTACTCATTTGTTCAACGAATGGTATGATGATGATTTTATTTAGCCTTTTGAGGAATGGATAATTATTTCATTTATTTAAAGCGAAGTTAGTTTTTTTTTTCGTTTCGTTTTGGGCAAATATGTCTGTCTATATATCTGTTTCCTGACAAATATAACTTGGTGTCTTCAAGTCCCGAGTGAACAGGTTACACATAGGTAGGCGTGTTCTGACGTCGGCTACATCATTGCTTACCACCAGGCGAGATGATGATCAAACGGCAACCTATCAAGTATGAAAAAAATAAGTAGGTGTCAAACAGTAACTACCCGTTTATCTACGGGTTTTCCGCGGCTGCAGTCGAGTTTAAATGTTAATATTAATTAGTTAATCCTCATTATTAATTTATTTAAAAACCATCATTATATGTGCCAAAATTAAGTAATTAATAACAATTTCTAAAATATTTAACTGTAAATTAATAAATGATCAAAATCGCATCGCAATAATTAGTACTCGGAATAGTTACTTCATAATTCAAATTTTAACCGTCAAACATCAAGGTAATAAACACTCCATAAGATTTCTATGACTTAAAAGTGTTAGAGCGAGACAAAAGATGAAAGAAAAGATGAGGTACTTAGGGACCGACCAAACACGGCCGTTGCAATCAAAGCATGGTATTTAAAAACGCATTCAGGTAGGAAGACAAAGAAAAGGGTAGGGATAGCGCGGTGGTCAGTGTCCAGGACACTTTTTGGCACAATTTTAGAATCAGTACAACGTGCGAACTCGTGAAGTGAACACCTCTCTGTGGGACCTCTCCCGTAAAATTAATTTCGGAAAGTGTTTCTAACTATTCGTGTGTATAAGACATTTTTTAAAAGCTTGCCTGGTAAATGGCAACTAGTGGATTTTTTACGTCAAGATTTAAGAGTGGCCTAAATGGCATTCCCTGCCCAATACTACCCTCATCTTCAACAGGAGGAGGATTATAGTACTGACAGTGTCGACGATGATTATTCTGATGGTATGTTTTATTCATTAAACAATTTCATCTGCGGTTTTCGTTTTTCGTTTGATTTCAGCCATATTTACTTTCTGATTTTTGTTTTCGTGTTATGTTTATTTTTTATGTCTGGTTTCTTTATGTATTTGATGTTTGTGTAGATGCTAAGGCCAACTCATCAAGTTATCTCTGATTAAAATTTCTTTAGTAACTAGTATTATTTCTTCGGTCTTGTATATAATTTATCGTTTGTCCGCCTGATATATGAATGGGATGGAAGCTTAAGAAGTATTAGCTACTTTTGCGCAATTTCACCCGATACTCAGCTCATATTAATCGTAATGTGATGGTTTATAGCCTGTAACCTTCCTCGATAAATTGACTATCCAACACAAAAATATTTTTTCAAATAGAACCAGTAGTTCCGGAGATAAACGCGATCAAACAAAGAAACAAGCAAGCAATCAAACAAACAATTTTTGAATGTATCGTTTGCTTGATGCGTGAATGGGATGGAAGCTTAAATATGTAATCGTAGTAGGTGATTTTAGTTTCTGACTACCCTCATTGGACATAGTTTGTGCATGTGTGAGTGGATCATGTATTTTATATGAATGAGACGATATTTATTATGTTATTATGTTGATGTCTTGAAAGTTTTTCGTATTTGCATTCAGAGGCCTTAGTACGAGTTTCTTTTATGTTTAAAGTCAACGTAACGGGGTACGCGTTCGGCGCTGTGATTCGCCGGCTCCAATGAACAAACCAATCAGAGCACAGAATGCCGTCTCGTTTCGATTACTTTAAACGTAAAAGAAATTTGTACTAAGGCCTTTGTTAGTGGAATCGTAAACGAAATTAGTTTCGTTTTTTAAACTTTTTTATTGGTCGAAGTATGCTGTAAAAAAGGTTATATAGGTACATTGGGTCTTCTAATTTAGTGGTGGATATTAGATGACCTAGGTAACCTTTCGACAGTTACATATTTGCAACATCATTTTATAGATATTAGCTTGTGAAAGCAAACCAAATCTTTGTAAGTCAAGTTTTTACAAAAAAATAATTTCGGTATTATTAAGTCTTTATTCCTTTTTACTTTAAACTCAACGTATTTTTGAAAAGTTAACAAAAAAATGTCGACGACTAACTACTGTGTTATGGATGTCTTTGTGCGGTGTCGATTGCTTATTATCAGAGGCGAATATAGTACGAATTTGTCACGTTTAAAGTAATCGAAACGAGTACGCGTTCGACGCTCTGATTGGCCGCCTTCAAAGAACAAACCAATCAGAGCGCTAAGGCGAAACTCGTACTAATGCCTCAGAGTGGTTGATTCACTTTATTCAATTCACATTACGTTACGAATGCGATAGTAATTCGTGCTTGGCACTCTGGTGATCCGTCTGTTCGTTTGCCCTATCCTATAAAAATGTCACCTATTTGCTTACAATACATGCGATCATGATCACGTATTGTAGACTTTGAGAATATTTTTAAGCCATTTGATCAAATAGGATTCACTTGAATCAATAAATTGAGTTCTTAATTGATGCCAAGTTTGAAGTCTTTCGTATATTGTAACTTACTAACTTTCTTTAATTATACACTAAAATCTTCATCACGAATTACTCTATCCATTGGTTTAGATCGCATCAAAATCTGTTTATTAGTTTTTGAGTCAGTTGCGTGTTTTGTAAATATGTTTAGGTTACAGAAGAATTTTCTTGCTTTTGTATATCTATGCATGTCTGTACCTGACTAGTGCCGAGCAAAACTAATTTTTTCTAAATGCAAATAGTCTCTAATTGTTTTCGCTCCTTTTTACCTGACTAAGGTCGTAGTTTGCTATAGAAATATCGACTTTACTGCATGTAACATAAAGGTGCGGGTGTGTCAAAGTAGACTAAAATCTTTTCATCTTTTCTAAATATTCCTATATTGTTTTGAACTAACAATAGTTACTAGACATGTGTCTTTCTTCTATCTGTTAGTCCCTTTACAACATTGTAAAATTGTGCCGACACTAGCTCATTACATTTGGAACCTTATTTCCTTGCAATAAAAGTGAATGAAAATTCATGGTAGTATGATAAGTAAACCATGTATTGTGCCCTTTTTGACTCAGACCAAGTAATAACTATTTGCGTTCGTTAAGTGTAAAATAGGGTAGACGACTAATTTTTATTTCAATGTCCGTCTGATAGATTATTTAAAAAAACATTAGACACGTATTTTTTATTTTCTCACAGAAACGAATAGTTTCGAAGATATATTGATTTGAAATGTCGCGTGACGTCACTTCTCAGTACACTCTCTCCTAAACTTTGATTCGTTTTATCTAAGTATTGTTTGATTATACGACAAAATAAAAAAATACGTGTCTAATATTTTTTCATTACCTAACTTACGGACTAATTATATTTTTAATTTTCATACCCTGTCATTATCCCCTTTCTCGGTAATAGATGAGGTCCATAGATATTCTCCACTTCTGTTTCTATGTCCGTATTCTAAAACTATTTTATGCCTAAACTATGTGACCTTTGTTTTAAATAATTTGCAGTAGATTTGTGTTAAGTCACGGTGGCTTAAGACCTCTACCTCTCATGCATGAGGGTGCGGGTTCGCAACCTACCAACGGCTAGTACCAATGTGACATTTTCCGAGTTATATGTACTTTCTAAGATTATCTGGACACCACTGACAAACGGTGAAGGAAAACATTGTGAGGATAACCTGGACTTATAATTTCTTATTATAAGTTTGTAATCGCCAACCCGCAACAAGCGTGGTGGTTAATGCTCAAACCTCCGTATGAGAAGAGGCTTTGCTCAGCAGTGGGAATTTAAAGGCTGTTGATGATGATGATGATGAGATTTCTGTTTTATTACCGTTTATAACGGGTCAGAGCCCATTCGTCCCCTAAAATTCGTCCCCCAGCATAAAAGTTGTGGATTCGGCCCCTATATAGGTGCCCATTGGTCTCCTGGTAGGGGACCAATTAATATTTAATAAAAAAATATTATTTTTAAGGTACCCATTCGTCCCCTCTAATATAATACATAATAAGTTAAAGATTCGGCACCTATTCAGGTGCCTATTGGTCCCCTGAGATAAAATAAGCTAAATTTTACACAAGAAACGGTTAACATAGTACACTTGTGAACAGTTTATTAACGGAATTAGTTTAATAAATCATAACAGATCATTGAAAAAAGAGCTATGATGATTGATAATAATATAACCTGTCGATAGGCCTACGATGCAATATTGTCTCTCTACGAATGGCTTTTTAAAAAACGGGGTACAAAATTGATAAGGTGTTTTATTTGTATGTTATGGCTGCCTCGGTGACATATTGGTTCTTGAAAGTGACTACGAATACGAGACTTCAATGTGTCTTTGGTCTTTTTTATATTAAATGATGTTCGCCTAACGAAATAAACAATATTGTTAATATTATAATAATAATATTTTTTACATAATTGAATCGAATTATCTTATTTGAATCCTGGAATATGATTAGTATTATTATTTGACGGTAATTTACTTTATATTGGAATTGTACAAAGTACTAACAATTCATAGTTATTTTTCTTATATTCGTATTGATATTTGGTTATTTGTTTGTACTCTGGATTTAAATTAATCTAAAATTCAGTTATTACTGGGATTTTATTTAAATAGTTACACAGTTTTATTTTACTGCATAAACATATTATAGTTGTCACATATTTTGCTAAATATTTACAAATGTACCAGACACCAAAAACTGATAACTTATTTTGAAGACTGACTTAATGCCTAGAGCCTAGAGGTTATATAATAAACTTAAACTTATTTAAAATAAACATGATATCTACCAAATTACTATATTTTTTTATTTTACCCTTTTCTGCGCGACTGTACCAGGACTACCAAGCTGCAGTATACATATATACATGTACTTATATTAGAAGAACGAATAAAAATAAATATTCTTCAGGGGACGAATAGGCCCCTCAAAAGTTCCAGGGGACGAGTGGGCACAGGGTGCGAATCTTAGGGGACGAATGGGCTCTGACCCTTTATAACACCTCAAACACCGACATCGCACTTAATTGCTTACTAGACGGTAAATTACATGAAAATACGCAATATTTCTTCGTTAGATTTTCGACCATATCACAAAACGATAAAGTAGAAAGTTGACCTGCCGGCTGCCGGTGTCCATACATCGCTTTTATCAATACGCATTTGACATTGATCTTGAACAGTTTATCAACCCTGCCCTAGTCCCCAGTATATGTGCTGTATCTGCGCAGTAAATTATGCGGAACAAAACATAACATACATTAATCTTTTTAATAATTACGTTCAGTTATCTTACTTATTACAGTATTGGTAACCATTGGTAAGAGAGGCGGGTTAATTGATCAATCCCCAAGCGGTCACCGGCGACCGCTCTCCACTACATTACAGACCTTATTTCCGATGTTTAGAGACTACTTTTGTATCAACAAATTTTGGGGATTTATATCAGGTGATTGTGTGTACGAGTTAATCCTAGAAACCACCTCGTAGGCGCTGTAACTTTTTCACCCTATGTGCAGTTGGGGACGCGTCCCTCGCGTCGTTCCATAACCTAGGCAATTGCCTAGTTTGCCCTAAACAGAGATAATATACGGCTTTGATTGGTAATCTTCTTCCATCATCTTTTAACGTTACCATTTTGCTAACGCACGTTTTGTATCTTACTAGGTAACAAAAAAATATAAGTTAAAATGATAAGAATCTAGGTTTATTCTGTTGGTAGCAGTTTGGCTGACCTTGAATTTAATGTCTTTCTGTCTCTCTTCTCCCAATGTTGACACTAGCACCGAATGAATGGAAACAAAGGGTTTATAAAAAACACTTTTTATAGAATAAGCGATTTTTGTAGGTTGTTGTTTGTGGGCTTGTCCCATTAAAAAGGCGATAACAATTAGGCGTAACTAAAACAATTAGATAATTTTTTTGTCCGATTTATTTATTAGTTTTAATGCAATAGTCTTAGATTTTTTTAAGGCGAATTTAGCTCCCATAGAATCACATAATCGCTATAACATAGAATAGTATCAGTATAATAGTATAGAAACAATAGTATCTACTATGACAATATCACATTATGACATCTACATGTTACATTGCAACATCTAAATTGTCCACTACGCGCAATATGCGTATAAAATTACTTTGTCACGAAAACGTGATCACTTGTGTAATCGAAAAAGTCGGAAAAATATTATTTATCAACTAAATACTAATAGGGTTTTTAAAAATTCTCAGTAGTAGCACGGAGTCTGGAATTGTGCCCGGTATATGGCAATATGCTCACCCCCTATTACACGGGACTCATAACATAAATAGTGAAAAGTGGGTGTTACATTGAACAGTGGCATTAAGTGCCGTAATATGCACCGCTACCTACCCCTTCGGGGATAAAATGCGTGATGTTATGTTATGCATTATGCTACTAATATTACAAATGCGAAAGTATGTGAGGATGTATGTAAGTTTGTTACTCTGATACGCAAAAAACACTAAATGTATTTGAATGAAATTTGGCATATATACATAGATAGACAAGTTTGTATCCCAGTATCACGAGCGAACTCGCTAATGGAAACTAATTGTTGATATAGTTACCTTCGTATCGCATATCTTTGATTAAAGTTGAAAATATTGAATCGGAATTCTAAGAGTTGATGACAAACAAATAATTAGTAATCGACATCGTAATATCTTGCAATCTTATCTAATTAGACTTTGGGGTTTGCCATTCTACTACGTAACTACTGTTTATAGTTGCGAAATTTCTAGTTTTTCATTAATAACAACACTTTATCCTACCGATAAAATTTTGATAAACGTCACCTAAAATGATTTAATTTTAAATCCTAGAATGCTAAGAAATCATGTCGCCGTTAATGCTTAATAGTTTTTAGATAAACTTATGTCCGTGAAGTATCTATCTATTCGGTTAAAATTCTATGAAAGTGGGGCAACATTGATAGATTTAGAATTTTGTAATCGGAAAGTCCTATGACCTTATTTTTTGTCAGCTATTCTGTCTTATCGTTATCGTGCTACCGTTTACCGTTTACTATCAGATACTTGTGTTACAATAGCGAATTTTGTATTAATCGCATCACAATTTTAGTATTTAACCAAATTCAAGACATCCACATTTATTAAAATGTTGAAAAGCCCTTATGCGGTAGCTCTATCGAAAGGCCCTTATGCGTTTGTACTGACAATTCTTATTAAGTAGGATTGATGACCTGGCCCAGTGTTTTTACCATTTTTAATTCATTGTAATTGAATTGATAAATTTATATTTCGATTTAAAATTGTATATTTTATAACCACATTCAGGAAGCGACATTCAAAGTCAATTGCCATATCATTTTGTTTCTAATCTGTGGTTTAGACAACAGACACATTCACTGTCACTCTCGGAGATTCAGTCAGCGAAACAATTTAACGGACGGTAATTTATAAAATAATACAAGCTTTGTTGTCGTGTGGTAACCATTATTATTCACGAAGGTCGTTGTAAAAGCCGTAAAAATTTAACTGGATACGAGCAGCGGTCTGTTTGACCAGCTTTTTTAAACTGCGATCTTGGAGATTATGGCAAATCTGTAGAGGAAGCTCGTAGTCCAACGGTGGCCTGTTTCGGGCAGTTGCCTTGTTTGGAAGAAGTAGATAGATCAGATTTCCACATCGAGTCTATTCTTTTTTCTAACTATATCTTATTTTTTTACAGACATGGAGTCGCACATTCTCAATACGTATACGTATCGGGAGGCTCCGTTTCGTCCCATTGGACACAAAGTCATGCGTATGAAGACTGACTCCCTGTCTTCAGAGAGCAGCAGTGGTAACCAAAATAGTCCGGAATACTCCACACAAATAAGTGTGCCACTGAGGCATTCTGTTGACAGCAATGGTGACGATAATGAGGTCAGTTAACAAACCATTTAAATAGGGCCATTAAAAATATAACCTAGGAATCTTATTTAACATGTTCTATGTTGATATATTATTCACATAGAAAATTTTTAGTAGTAATACTATTGATTACACGGTGTCCGAGAATAGCGCAGTACCTTGGTGACCAGCTGCCGTGCCAACGAGTCGCGGGTTTGATTCTCGCACAAATCTTTGGGTGATTCACAAGTTGTTCATTGTTCCAGTTCGTGTTGTGTTTATTTTTATTAAAAAGGTTGCTCCTTCTTTTGTTTCAGGTTAATATAAGTCACACAAGTCAAAATAGTAGTAGTAGCTCAGACGATGAAAGCTCTGAGCTAGAAGAAAGTATAGACGTAGAGACTGCAGAAGATAATGCCGTGACAGAGAATGGAATTGAACTGAATGAAGAACAGGATATCAGTTTGGATTATGAAGAAATTCTCGCAGTAGAAGATGCAGAAACAGGAACTGAAATAGAAATACACAAGTCTTTACCAACGTCTCTGGAGCTCAATGAGAATTGTTTGGTAGAAGAAGATGATTATTTGGTTTACACTGTGATTGCCGTAGATCCAGAAGACTGTGACGACGATGAAGAAGAAGAAGAGGAAGAAAGAACAGAAGCTGATGCTTCTGTCATACAGACAGAAGCTATTTTAATGATAGATACTCCGAATGGTACTGATATCAGCCAAAAATCTATCACATATCCAGAAAGAAATACTAAAGAGGAAGTGGCAAATGTAGATTCTCCAGTAGTTTCAAATGTCAATAATAATGTAGATGAAAATGAACACATACTGGAGGAAGACGTTCCTGTAGTCAGAGCTATCGATGACTATTTTAACAAAGAAATGCCTCTCCCAGTTGGAGACACGACTTTACACGAATTTCTAACTAAAACATCTGATGAACAAATTACTAAAGTACATAGTAACGATTTCATATCAGAAAATATGAAACAAATTACATCAAATGAATCAAGTAATTACATTGATTCTGACCCTCATGAAAATCAGGTAACAGCCTTATCAAAAGAGGACTTAGATGCTGGGCCAAAAATCGAAAGCATAAAAAGATACCTCTTAGAAGGTATTCATACAGTCACGAAATTACGGCACGTACAAAAGTCTTGTTCAGTGCCGCAATCACCTATGCCCCATATCTGTATTGAATACGACGATATCAAACATAGTATGACGTTTGAAGACCTAGATTTGTCTGATCTAGGTTTAGAAAGCGATAAAGATAAATTAGATACCAGTATACCGCGTATTTTAACGGATGAAGATGTGAATAGCTTTTTAATTACTGAGAAAAAGGAGATACGCGAAGAAATAATACAAGAAGAGGACAATTTCCATATCGAAGATATGGAACTTGAGCGCCCTCTTGAAGCAACTATTTCTGTTCCTTCGCCTGTCCATATGTTGAATCGGTCATCCACACCCATTCCAACAGTCCTAGATTTTTGTATCGAAAAGGTACCAAATAAAAAAGAATTAGCGACAGAGGCAAAAGGTGAATTAGAAGATTTCGTGGACGTGGAATCATGTAACGAGACAGTATTGCCAGTTCTGGAAGCGAATAATTTGAATTCTCTGTTAGAACAATTCGAAGCTTCTGAAAATATGAACAAAAAGAAAAAGGAAAAATCAAGTGTTGTGACATCCAAAAACAGTTTAAAAAGTGGTTTATCCAATGGCACGCGGCTTCAAGACGCTGGAATGCAATTAAACAAGAATAAAATGCGGCAAATACTCGTGAGTATCATTCTGTGTTATCTGTAGTTCTAGTTGCTACTGTTTGATTTTCAGGTTGAAGGATATCTTCTAAAGTAATACTTTATTTCAGATGCCGCCTACACCACTGAACGCGACTAGCAGGCGGTCACCGAGTCCCGTTCACTCGGATCATGACTACTGCTCGCCGAAAAAGCGAAGCAGCTTGCCCAAACTCAAGGGAGGGCAAAGCTTACTTAAGCCCGATATAGTCACGAAGAATAGAATGCTTAATTCTAGACATAGGTCGTGTAAAAGTAAAAAAGTGGTTTACCATTTGAGTAGTGACGAGGAAGACAATGGTGTTAAAAATAAGAAAAATGTGAAAGAGGATACAGATTCTAAAAAAAGCAGTAGTAAACAGCCCGTACAGTCGAACTGCCGTAGAAAACTGTCCCCACCCCTAAGTGCACCAGATAGTTGTAAAGATAATAAAAAATCTGTGATCGAAAAGGATGCTTCTAAAGCGAGTGATATTAATAGTCAAAATTATAATGGTAGGATTAAGTTACTTATTAAGAATAAATCTGAAGTTATACTAAACTGTGATCCTGTGGACTCTCAGAAAAATATAGACAAGTGTAAACATAGTGATAGTGAAAAAATTAACAATTTAGACAAAAAAGAAAAAAAAATAGATAGGCAAAAAGTAAAAACTTTGGATAATACAGAGACTGCTCCTCAAAAGGAATCCCGTTCCAAACAGGACAACTTTTACACAGCATTGTTTAGTAATAAGCAAGATGTTCAGATACCACAGCCATTAAAACTCAAGCCGGAGAAGAAGCCAAATAATGAAGAATTTAATAAATGCATGTTGGTAGCAGCTATTACAAAGGAAGTCGAACAACCCCAAAAGAAAAAGAAACTAAATCTTCAGGAATATAAGTTGAGAAAAGGAGCTAGTTCGAACAATAGCTCCGCGACAGTAAGTCCTGAAGCGATATTTCCTGACATGCCCAGTCCTGGACAGGATAAAACAATTAAATGCCCACTCGTGAAAACGAATGGGGCAAATAATACCCCTAAACCTAACGAACCAGAATATTTTGACCCCATTAAAGAGGCATCGAGGAAAATATTGCTTAATACCAATAAAAAGAAAGCAGAGGCTCTCCGGAAAAGAGAAGAAAACATTGTTATGAGCAAAATACCGAAAGTTGACATTCTTCAACTACAGCCGCTTATAAGCGAGGCTGAGATGTTACAAATAACTGGCAAGAAACCCCAACCTGAAATATTGCCAGCGCCTTCGCATACTGATAAACCGCAACCGTCGACGCAGCAACAGTATGAAGAATTAATATTAGTAAGCGTAGGTACTAATACAGATGCTAAAATTAGTCACATCGAAGAGCCTGAAGTAAAAGCAACATCATCTCTTATTAACTTCAAAATTAAAAAAGCCGACAATGTCTTAAAACAGAATGTGTTCGATGTTAAAAAGGGAAAAATATCACCTACAGATGATAAAAGTGACAAAAAAATTGATAAAAAACGTTACAAAGACATCACCGCAACGTTAAAGAGTGTTGAGAAACAGGTTGAAACGAGAAATTTGACTAATTCATTATTCTCTAGTATCCAAGATGTCGTCTTGAAGAAAGCTCCCGAGCAGGTTGAATCGGTAGAGTCAACCAGTTCTAAGTCTCATCATGAGAAACGTAATATAACAATAATTAGAGAATATGATCCTAAAGCGGAACACGGCGAAGACAAGGTCATATTACATTTAGGCAAGAATAAGAATAAACCAGTGACTTCTACCATAAGTGTACAAACGGATTCACTCCCCGAATTTACTGAGCTATCAGTTGCGAAGACGTTCAAACAGAAAGCCAGTCCTGCTGCTCCGGCCCGACAGAGGAATGACAGTGACATGTCGGTATCCAGTGAAAGTACTTCATCGAAGAAAAGCAATGAGTCACAAGCTAAAAATAGAAAAACAAACATAGTATCTAAACACAAAGATTCCCGGGTTAATAAAGTGCATAGATCTCGGTCAAAAGATCGGTACGACTCAAAATACAGTAGACGGCGGTCGAAGTCAACATCGCGCGGGCGGAGAAGAAGATCGCACAGCCGTAGTCGCAGTCGTAGTAGGTCTAGATCCCGAGGCTATAGGAGATACAGACGGTCAGACTCTCCATACAAGAGGAAACACAGGTCGAGGTCGCCATACCAGAGCAGGTCTCATAGATCGCGCTCCAGGCCAACCGACACTCGGTCAAAGAGTCCTGCCGCTAAAAAGTTGAAGTTGACTCCTCCTACGAACAACGAAAGGAAGAACATCAAGTCCCACACCCCACCTTTACGGAAACCGACAATTTCCGAAAGCTCAGATTCATCGTCGTCTAGGTAAGAATTACATTTTATTTTATCCTGATTTATTACATATAGTTTGCTTCGACAGCATGCTCTCCTGTCGAGTTTGGTGTTATTTTTATAATTACAGCCACCAACCACATGTGCTGATTACCGTCATATAACCTCGTCCATCCATTCCTTTTTTTATTGATGATTTTTAGCTAAATTCTAATGAAGATACTTAAAAAACGAATTATTATTAATTCAGCTATTCTTTACGTAATATATGTAAATGTAAATCATATGACCGATCACGAGCTATGTAATACATATTGTGTATGTTTGTACATATGTTTTGGTCTATTCTATTCACATACTACATCCCAATTGCGTAATAGTTACATGCGTCAAGTGTTATCGAAAGAGTTTTCACTGAAAGTCTCTTTTTTCTAGGTTAACTTTGATTATTATTCTTCCACGATCTGTAACATAGGTTTTGGTGTCTAGATAAGTACGTAAAAATATTATAAAAGTTTTACAAACTGGGTAAACTTTTAATGTTTCTCCGTATATATATTCTTTTAATACCACGCGACAAGGAGCCACGTGTTTCACAAGGCGTTGAGTTACGCAATTAGGTTACGGGCACCATTTCGCGACCGGACACGTGTTTCGGTGACACACACACACACACATACACTTTCGTAGTTAATGCTAAACGGTTAAGAATCAACTTAAGTTGCACTTAGATAAAGTTCTCATTAAGTTACAAGTCAATATTCATAGTACACAATATTATACTTAACTAAACGATTAAAAAACAACTTTAGTTACATTTACATATAGTTGTTTTTAGGTTGAAGTCTTGATTGTGTTATAAGACATTATCTAATTAAAATTTCCATTGCAGTTCCTCCTCCTCCTCTTCATCGTCTTCTTCGTCGTCGTCCTCGTCCTCGTCATCGTCATCTTCGTCGTCAAGTTCAGCAAGTTCTACAAAGTCGAGGAGATCAGTCAGCTCATACAAACGAGATGAACCCTACAAGTCTTCTAAGAGCTACAGGGGTTACAACTCTGAAGATAGGTAAGTTAAAATACATGGAATGGTATAATGTGGTCAGCAGGTCAAAGTACCCAAAACTGACTATATTATTCAATGAATATTTGACTTAATAGCAAAACAATAAAGTGGAAAATTTAATAAAGAAAGACAGAATAGAGGATTTGTGGACCTGCTAACCACTGTACTTCCTACGTTTAGAGCTTTGCCCTTGTTTACGTATGTGTTTGTGTAATGCTAACTTATTGTCACCCTTTCATATCTAAATGTCTATTTAGTTTAATGCTGAGTCGATTTTTTAACAGTATTTTTAGTACAGATACCGTCAGCTTCTCAATATGCCAAGTTTTTCTGTATTTTAGAACTTATGACATTTTACAAGTTACAAGCTAGGTAGTTTTCCTCAAAATGCCAACATTTTTTACTAAATATCTCGATTATAGGCCAATTTTAATTCAACAAATTTCTTAGTTACTACTGGAATTCTAATATTAATAATCTTGTGTATTTTTAGGGAGAGTAACACACTCGTCGAGGAACGAAGAATAGTGTTCGTCGGTCGCCTGGAGAAGGATATCACGAAAATGACGTTAAAGAACCAATTTTCCAAATTCGGCCACGTTGTGGAAGTACGGTTACACAGCAAGGAGGATGGGTAAGTTCATTTTGATGAATTTTTTATAGCAAAACTACCGATTTTCAGTCATTTCCATCTTTGTAGAAGATCTACCTATAATCTTTTGTGCACTTATTGTTATGTGTTAATGCTACATCAAATTTTTTTCCGATTGCGTTTTAAAGCCCACATCTTATACATTTTTGACAATATTTTACTTGTTTTCTTTTATAATCCCTCTTTCATCTATTCTTTCAACAAATTCAAGCCCAAAAAATAGCACATTTTTCATATCATATACAGTTAAAATACCAGAAATTATAGCGAATTCTTTGTCTTTCTACATATATATCTTCCATGGCGGTAGGCAAAGACGGAACGCCAATTGCTACGATTCTTACATATCTCTTTCGCTTCATCAACAGTCATCTGTCATGCATGCTCGTCAGTTAAGGGTACTTTTAATTTGGCCCTCCTTTAATATATCGGCTGGTCGACATCTGTTTGACCCAACAAATTGTAGAAGAACAACAAAATTTACAATTATTTTATGATTAGTCGGGAATTATAGCTAATAATTTATGTTCCTATCAGGTCTAGATACGGTTTCGTAACATACCAACGAGCTCGGGACGCCTGGGCGGCAGTGGAGGCTGCCAGCTCGTTCCCTCAGTACGACGTCGGGTTTGGAGGCCGACGGGCCTTCTGCAGGCAAAGCTATGCTGATCTCGGTGAGTTTCACTTATAATATGTAGTATAAAGTTATTTCAAATAATTAATTTCTTAGTTGTTACTTTATATCCGGACGGACCCAACAGACATTGTCCTGCATATCCACTTGAATGTATAAACAAAAATTCATTCAAATTAGTTCAGCTGTTTAGGATAAATTACCTAAACATCAACTGCAGCGCCATCTGCCGGGTTGATGTGTGAATCTAAACCATTCCCAGATCCCCTTGAACACACACAAAAAATTTCATCATAATCGGTCCAGTCGTTTGAGAGAAGTTCAGTGACATACACACTCACAGAAGAATTATATATATAAAAGATATTTTAGTTTTAGTTGTAAAGTAGGCATTATATGTAACTTGTTATTAACATATTCTTTTTCTTCTTAGATGGTCTTGAAGCCAAATACACCGAGAGCGCCTTCCATGGGCAAGGGGCGCTGCTTCCAATGGAGGATGAAGACGAATTTTCATTTGATAAAATGTTACACGCCGTGAGAGTAAAAATGGATCAAAGGAAACGCTCAGATGAATCCAAGCCTTCCAAGCCTTGACAGTTACCTTTAATTGGCTGGCGTATCAACATGGTGCTCTCTCTTAAAATCAAAGTGACATTGTGTGAAAATGACGGATTTTATCCAGCCCCAGTGAGCCAAGTGACAGTGATTTAGGTTAAAAGTGAACAGTGGAACTGCGTATTTACTAGACCGCTGGCTTCTCATTAAAAACGGTTTTTCGGTAAGCAACTACATTTAGTATTCTAACACTTACCTCGGTAGAACTTTCAGTCATAGTAGTAAGCAACATAGTATGACTAAATTTATTTAAACATGTATATAGCGATGTACTGATTGACATTCAAATTATCTCGGCTATGTGTACCTTGTCAATTTATTTATATTGTGTCAGGTCATGATAAAAGGAGTGAGATTAAATGAATTAGGATGTAAAACCGAATTATTAATGAAATTCTTATTACATATTTGGTGAAATCATGGTTAGGTTATGCTGTGGATGCGTGCAATGACAGCTGTCAGCCGCGACAGCTGTCAAAGTGACAGTTACCTAGTGACGTGCAATCAAAAAGACAGTGTTCAGCGTTTTGTTGCGAACAAAATTTGCTCATGGATTGTGACATTGTATTTGAAATAATCGTGGATTTATTTACTTGTATAAAACTTAAACTGATTCTAAATGTCACAATCGTTTTGGTTATCGTTTCGTTTTTAGCTTATTAGTTCATAGTCGAAGTACCTCAAGGATATAAATAGTTGTTTCGTTTTGTTATTTGTAAATCTGTTATTTACCATTTTACATTTTGTTTTACTGTCGAACAGTTTGGATAACTTTGTTAAAAATCTCTCCCACATTGTCGAGTCTTTAAAATAGAACTGTTTTATAATCGCATCGTAACTAATTCTAGTTTCCTTCTTCTTACTAGTCGTGCTGTATGCAAAAAAACACATTAATGTTAGGACATAAGTTTCGTTTTGGCTTGTACATAATTATTACATAGACGGTACCCACAGGAAATTATATGCTGGGACCATTAGGAGAAATAATCTCTTGCCTGTAAATAATTGTAGTAAATTCATTTCAAAGTTGGACAAATTGTATATAAACAAATTTAAATTGAATTTTCTGTTTGCGCAACTACTTTTCCACAATATTTTTACTTGTTGTTTTAAGTCTCATGCAATTAGGGGCGACCCTTGCCGTACACTGGACTTGAACTCTATACTCCACAATAGTTATTACAGTTTCAAAAATTTAAAAACTTAACTTACGGCCTTACTATTGAATCCAATTCCGATCAATTGATATTCATATTGTGAAAATTCATACTCCTCAGTTGCAACACTAGCGCTCATGGCATCCATATTGAATATTATTCAATGAACTAAATGGTATTAAGTTTGGCTTTATATTCCATACTCTAAATGCTATTATAACAGAACGATTGTATAAAGTTGATATTGAATTATTGAGATTTATTGGATTGACATTAAGATTGGTTTCAAGAGTAAGTGTCCTGTACTGAATATTGAATCCGACCCAGTGAAGTCATAAGATCATGTTGCGCAAACAAACGTCAGTGTGATATTTCTATGTACATATTTCTTTGATTATGTAAAAAATGTTTTATGTATGTCACCTTGACTATTGTTACCAATTTTTTATGTTAGGTATATATGTAGACACTCCTATCTGTACCTTAATAAAACATGTTTTATTTTAACACCGCTTCATATTATTCCAACATTCTTATTTGTCTACACCCTCAATAACTCTTGGTTGCACATTTTGGTAGTTTTCTCAGTCAATAACTAATTGTTTCGAATTTTCAGCACAAAACATATTTTATAAACTTCCAAATATTATTTTTTTTAATAAGTACTTACTTATGTAATTTTACATATAAATTGCTTTATCATAAGATAGCTCACTATTTCACAAAATTCATAAAAACTATCGTTTTGATATTTCGAAACAATAATTAAATTTTGACTTGGAAACTACCCTGTATTTAGTAGATGCTAATATAATATACTATTTATTATAGATAACCATATAATAACACTCTTAAAGTAGATATGTAGATAACTATAGAAAATAAATAAAAGACATTATAATAAAAAAGACTTAAGGAATTGACTAGTAGTCAGTCTCAGTTGAGAATGCAATCCAGAGCATGTTTATCTACCCCGGGATTTTTATGCGAAATCCCGGGATCCCGGGACTACCCCGGGATAATGGGGTTAAAATGTATTTTGAGATTCGGAATCCCGGGATTGTATTCTCTTTCAATCTATCAGTTAGTAGGGTAGAATGAGGGCTACTGTGAGTGATTAAACTGCTAGGATAGCGATGCGACGTACTAGCGAATGTAGTAAGAGGTCTCTTGTCTAGTATACTATTTGCTAATACGTCATTGGTCATTCATTTACGGTAAATTAATACCATCTGACCAGAACAGCAGTAGTCCTCATTAGCTACCAGAGAAAGATTTTTGACATATTGAGTTCCATATAAAAAAGGTCGAATTCACAACTTCTTTCATTTTGTGAAGTCTGTGAAAATGTCAAAATTATGTCTTGTTAGAAAATCTATAGCATTTGATTGAGACTGGCTGTATGTGGCTTCAATTGATATACAAGTATGTTTGTGCTCTCATTCTAACATAAAGGGCTGAAAGAGATAGGAAGATTGCTTGAGTAAACAGTAAAAGATATTGTATTTTATTGAACAATTCTAAATAAATTATAAAATCTAATATTATAGATTATACAAATGGTTCTGGAGATGAACTCCAAAATAAAAAAAGGCGTTATTGCACTTTTTGGTTTTCGAAACTCAGTAATAACACGAGGCCTTGTATTGTGCCCAGTGAATGGCAATAGGCTCACTCCCTATTACATGGAACTCATAAGAATGATGTTAAATATGTGGACCTTTCGCTAAACGCTTATGAAATAGATCCTAGCATAATAAATTATACAAGCTTTGATACCATCAATTTTCATTACCATCCATGTGATAGCTTCTATCTCTTTCTTATTCCAAATGCTAGTAAGAGACAACAATATATTTAGTCTATCAATTGGAGCCAGTTTTTTACCCAAAGATTTTGTACTTGGACTGGAAAAAAACTTTATAACTTATGAAGAACTTACTCTAATCGAACTTTAAGTCCTAAATTCGACTCTTGCGCAAACACATAACGGATAGTGTAAAACTAAAAGAAAATCCAGCCATACCCTGGAATTGACCCTAAAAATGATAATTACACACTAAAAGTATCCTTAAACGAAACTATTTAATATTCAAAGTCGATAGCACAAATAATTAATCTAGGTGCACTTAGATTTACCTAAAGAAACTTCCATTGAGATTCTAAGTGCCAAACTTATGAGATAAACACTGTTCCTATTTTACAAATAAACACAGCGACACAGAATTGAGTAGCCTTTACAAATTTTGCCTAAAACCCTAAGTTTTAAACACTAAACTTGCTTATTCATAAAAAAAGAAAAGCCTGTTAAAACTATAGATGAATTTGATTGTGTGAATTTTATATAAATTTGTTTCCCATGTGTAGAATGATAAATAAAAAGGCAATAAAAAGATATTTCGCTGGTCAATCAGCTGATGTTATAATTCTCGCCCCTGCCTTATAAAGTCGGAAACATACTTGTAACCTCTCTGGTGTTCCAGGTGTCCATGGGCGGCACCGGTTTGTTACCATCATCAGGTGATCCGTCCAATTTTTTTGCCGTCCTATCCTTTAAAAAAAGCTGATATGTGCGTTATGACTGGGATAAGTTAATCCCAGTTCCTTACAAAAAGCGGCACCGTAGGTACTTGTAACTTCTATGGTGTTAAAAGTACCCATAGGCAGCATGAATTGCTTACCATCAGGTGACAGTCAACTCCGTGCCTCCTCCCTCCTATTTCATACAAAATCCTAAGTAATTCAATTCTGTATTTTGATAGAAAATTTTTCTATCGGCAGGAAAGTAGTTATGTAAAATTCACACAGTCTATAGTTGTAATGAAACTATGAATTGTAAAAATATTTATCGTATAAATTATTTTTATTCTGTAACATTTTTTGTTTGTTTGTCCTGTTTTTGTTTAGACCAATTTTATTTTAAGTAATACAGACTCTAAGCAACAGATTAAATGCCTTAATTTCATACGCTTAAGTTCCATAGTTTCTATACTAGAAGATAAATAACTTAATTCTGCTCACTGCCAAAGGAATTGTTCCCAATACTTCATAGTAAAATAAATATTTCGTTCATATGGCAACAATTAAGTTTGCTTAGAGTTGCCCCTGTAAAAAACAATTAGATTGAATTTTGAAATCTAGTCAGTGTTACTAGATTATATTTTTTTGTTTTTATCTTTATGGTGATAATTTATTTAAATATTACGTTAAGCATATATTAATGGTTTTAAGTTTAAAAGATTTTATTTCACATTATTATGTCGGCTAGCGAATTAGTTATGAAATAGGTAACTTAATGCAGTATCATGTTGTTTATTAAAATTGGTCTCTAAATAATGCAAAGTTTTGTTCTGTATGTATGTATTTTAAGTTATACTAGTACATTAATTTATTTCCGGTTATTTTTCCACCGACAGTGTAAAATCAACTATATTGTCTAAGTGATAAGGATAGCATTCTATCGCTCTGTGTATAAAGTTTACCATACACTATGCAATTTATTGACTGTTGTTGTTTTGTAGAGAATTGGTTGTATTTTCTCATATCTGTGTATTTTGGTTTTTGGCTATTTCTATTGTATATTATGTATTATATCTTGTACAATTCGATCTGCTGGTAAATTGACAAGTGTATGGCCCTTTCGACACGTTTCATTCCCGCCAAATTTCGATTTTGACAGCTGTCATAGCAGCCTGCACAGATAAGAAATAGTTTCGTTGTTTTTTTAAATATACAAACGTATGTTGTAAGAAATGATAGGTAATGAGTGAAAAGACTATGTAGTACATAATTTTGTACGTATTTTTAAATTTAATCAGCTAAACGAGTCACTACGAACATAGAATCAATACTCTTTAAAATTAAGATCATGGCTTTGTAGCATTTAGGAATTGGTAAGGTTATGTTAAATAGGAATTATAATATTTTTTGTTCTACATTATTATGTATTAGACATCTTGATTTCGTTTTGTGACTAATATTCATACACGAACGTGTTTTGTATAAGAATTTTATACATTTCGGTTTTATAAATCTTAATTGTTAGCCTTAAGATTAAAAAGTATGCGAAAAGTGTTAAATTAGACCTGTAAAAAACATTGTAATCTGTGGCGGTGGTTGTACAAAAAATATATTGTTAATAATTTTGATGTTAAAAAAAACCCTTAAAAACACACTAGCGCCACAGATAATCGTGACGTATTCTGGAACTAACGGTTCCTGATTTACTATTATGACTTGTTATTCAAAATTATGGAAATGTATGAGTAGAATAATATTATACCCGTATTGAAAATTTAAAATATTTATACAAATATTCATATAATGTAAAAAATGGTAGAAAGAAAAATTTTTTTTTCAAATGCGGGTATACTTATTCGCTTGGCTAGGATCTTAAGTGCTTGTGAATAGAGTTGAAATTCGTACAGATTGATTAACTACGGGGTTGTAGTACATATAAAAGTCCAACATAGTGTTGATAGTACATAGTGAGAATGTTTTATACATAAAGCTGTTGATAAATAAAAGTATTTTGGACATAATTTATTTATTTTATTTTAATGACTTAACTGTAGATAATGCCGGTGTTTAAAGACCGAATTTATAGGTAATATGAAAACCTTCAAATATGCTTCGAGAATAAGCAAAAATGTTCTTTATATTTTGGGCCAATAATGGCTAAATAAAGGTTTTAGATAGTAAAACTGAAGCCTTTAGCACAGTACCTAAAGAAAATAACTTTGACTTCAGACTAAAGTCAGTCTCTTTAGTTGGCCGTTGAAGACGGAACTACTTAATATTTCTCGCTAGCTTCCTCCCGATACTAGCCGAAACAATTACTTGTGCTTGATCCAGCAAATATGGCCAAACATGAATAAGCACTAGAATTAAAAAGTTGTAAGCATAATATGGACTTCGGTTATGTTATTTCGTTGTAAAGGGTCAAATTATTGCACATGTCTAACAGACTCACAAACTCCACTGTATAACAGACATTTTATATTATTATGATATTTCTATTTTAATAATAGAATGGATAGCGCCCCCTGCCAGATACATCCCAAAACATTCCCTGAGAATGTCCCTTTATATTTCAGCTACCACCTTACAGATGGCGCTATTTACAATAACTGAATAGTGTCGTGTTTTTGTTGCACGTACACAAAATATAGATGGCGATAAGTAGACGATATTTTTGGAATCTAAAAGATGTCGCTACTGGTAGTTAATACACAAAACTTCTCAATTCTTAATTTTAAAAGGTGCGGTTACCAAACATTGGCTATGACAGTATTAAAAATAAAGGTTAAAATTTTAGAGTTGTTATAATTGTATAGTTACATAACATTACAATTACTTATTATTTAATTAAATCTTAATAATCTGCCATTGTAGGTATAACTTTAGGTACTTTCCAGATCAACGACAGAACACCTAAGAAGAAAAAGTTAAGATTTATCCATAAAGAAATCAAAACTATCAACAAAAACTAAACATTCAAACCCAAACAAAATATACCCACCTACTACAAACAAAATCCCCCTAAACCTCCATTTTAAATGTTTGTTTATTCTCAAACACAGTGGAGAGGCTAAATCCAGCCTACATCACCCCAAGTGGGCCTACAAGGGCAATTATAAGGCCAAATTAGTCATTAAGCCAGTCTCACACTGACGGGGACGGTCGGAAGTGCTCGCGGGCACCACACTAATTTAGCCCGCCTGTGTAGATCCCGCCTAAGGCCCTCTTCAAGTACTTAGGGTGAAATTGACGATGGAGAAAACTGTGTTGATGTTGACTCCTCAATGTGGTGTTTGGGTGCGGTTATTTAGTTATTTTATGGTTAATTCGGATTAGTTGGTTGTTTTGCTTCAGTATAAAATACTAATCAATATTTTTTACAAAATATTACAGGGCGTGGCTCGGCTCTTAGAAAATAAAGATTTAGAATATACATACATAGGTAGGTACACTGTATTTTATTCTGCAGAATCTTTAGATCGACCGGGCATTACTTACTTAGGACTCGTATATAAACTTGAACCTTGAGTCGCTTAAGGGGCCAGTAAAATACCAGCGCAAGGCCCAGTCTTGTAAACGCTGAACTGGCCCCATCTCACCGCAGACTTGGTACATGAACATCAGTACTTACTAATAAAATAACACATCTCTACATGGCACTTATTTTTTAGCGTGAAATTAAGTTTTTCTTTCGTTCTTTAATCTTTTAAACGGCGATCTCTGACCCGCTTGTAAAGCGCGGAAAGGTTCTAGCCTACTAGAACCTTCTCTAAATAACTAGTATAAGTAGTAGTAGTAGTAGTAGGTTAAATACTAGGTTAACACATAATGTTCAGTATGGCAACTCACTTATACGATTATTTTTGAAAATTTTACCTTCTACTACTACTACTACCTACTAATTTGTCAACCGCTACTGCAGGCTAATTGTTCACACTTTTACGACCAAAAAGGTCTGTAGGTGCTTAGGTACTCAAGTGCTTAAGTACCTTATTCAAGAGCACGAGTGCAGGCGGATTACCTGATAGTAAGCAATCACTGCAGCCCATAGTCACCCGTAACACCAAATGAATTACACAATAAAACTATACCACTTTTCAAAAGTAGTTAGGATATACCGGTATGCAATATTATACTGCAACTATACTTTTTTTTATCACTTAAGTAATTGCATGTTGGTTAACCTATAATTGGCGACTGTATAAGCCTAAATACTTAATGTTACTTTCAAATCACTTAATGCTATGTATACAGAAGCTGTTGGTATACCTATTTGAATAAATAAAATAAAAATAAAATAAAATTAAAAACTAACTTCTGCCCGCGGCTTCGTATGCACAATCCCCGTTTTCTCCCGTTCCCGTAGGATTTTCGGGTCTTAAGAACCTTCTCCTAATAATAACAAATACAACAAAAAAAGAAGTAGTGAAATCGGTCCAGCCATTCACCCGTGATGCCGTGACCAAAGGAAAAAGGGATTCATTTTTATATACATACAAATGAGTATAATGCTTTAAAAATTAAGTACAATATTAATATTGTTACTCATGGCTCCAGTCATATTAACTCGTCGAGTACCGTATTTATAGACACAATTAAAGAACAATAGGTCGCGGTCACCGGTGACCGCTTGGTGTTTGACAGTTTAAATGATAAACTAACATGATTGACTAATTCTTAGGAAGCAGGTACTAGGCAACTGGCAAACCTTTTGCATTAATAATATTTTCACAATATAATTTACCTGTGTGTGTAAAGTGTGAGATAATTTATATTGGCCAATAAAAACAGATCACGCGAAAATCACAAAAGCCAATTAATTAATTAAAACTACCACTCCGCAATAGTCCGTGTGATAAAGAAGGAGCTTTGAAATCTGTAAAAGTCAAAATGTAAAATGACATCAAACCTTTATTACTAATGAGCTGTATGGCAAAATTTATCATTATTATTTATTATCATTACCATCATATCAGCTTAACAAGACATGCGATTTTAAATATAAGCCTTGCCTAGTGACTAGTTTGCTGGCTACAGTTAGATCGGTCCAGAAGCATCCAGTATCCAGCAGAGGCTCCATACAATAATAATAAAAATGCAAAAAATCTAAGACTATGTAATCCTGGACAGCAGACTCATTAGTTGACCCGTTAATTCACTACAGCTATAGTCTGTGCAATAAGGAATAAAATACAACACAAAACATAAAAAAACCGGCCTATTTTGTGGCATTCCCTATAGCCCACACGTCAGACTATTTAGTAAAACACAACTTCGCGGTATGTTAAACATCATTAGTGTTATTTTTGAGATATGCCAGCCACAACCTCCCAAAACCGCTGCAACTCCTGTAAGCCAGGATCTACAGTAGATACAACCATGAAAACACCGGAACACTGAAGTCCGGCGCGTCCTAGGGACATGAATAACTGTCTTGGTTCCCGCAACGAAGCGAATCAGAAGATATTATAAGAGAAGAAGAAAAAACATTATTAGTGTATATTACAGATACCATAATGAAATATCAGTCAATAACAACCAATCAATAACATTATTCATTGTAACATTCCCAAGCTCACAAAAACGATATCCTTCCTACAGTCGGGTAAAATCTAAATCAGTAAGTAGTTTACAGTCTAAGGATAGAAATGTGATACTTAAATAATCTTAAATCACAGCTAAAAACATTAAAAAAGAAAATAGTAGATAAATGGATTAAGCTTTTAATCAAAATGATTATTATTATCGTTATTATTCAACCAATAATTTTATAAGTCAGTATCGAGCATAAAGTCAAACCGACACGACAAATACATAATTATCTCTTACAATTAGAAAACCGAAATAGTTTTATTTGTATACAAAAACATTTAGAAACAAGTCGTGGACCACATTAACCATTATGGCGCAGAGTCCAGCAAATTAAACATAAACACGAGAACAGTTTCACCGATTTAAAAGCTAAGTGAGTACCCTTAATTGCGTTAGACTTGGCTCAGTACCGACCACTTTCACGATCGATGATTTCCCCTTGAATAAAACAATTTTATCAATCAACCTGTATCATTCTTATTGCTTCGATATAAGAGCTATAATGCAATGAATGGAAACGGTGTATATCTTTGTATTTTAGTAGGAAAAGGATGGGTATAAGGTGCACGGTTGGTTGATGTAAGGGGTGGTACTTGTTCAGAGTGACGCCCCAAAATCTAAGGGTAGTTCGCCAGTTTCTGTCGTACAGTTGCACGCGGCGGCTCGCCCGCTATACCTCGGCCGTGGTTAGACCAAAAACAAATATTGTTGACACGAAATATTTGATGACAGTGTAGTTTTTAAAGGACTTTCAGTGTGTGTGTCCGAGTTATGTTCTGTCGAGTACTGTGCCTGTGTTGATACGGAGGAAACAAGAGCTGATTTTTTAGACAGGTTAGATTTTATATTCGAATTTTTTATCTTTTAAGTAAGTACCTGTTTTATAGAGAGATATCTTTATCATCTTGCTTGAGTTGATCAAACTGAGTTGGAAAAATGATGGCTAGGTATATTATAATATGAGTACGTTGGAACCAACGAAATATAATAAGGTTTTACTTATAACCAAACCCAATTAAGAAAATGTAATTATTTATTTATTACTTGTCTAAGTATTTGTTATGGAGGATTGTATAATATATTTGTATATTATATCCCCTTTAATGAGATAAAGTCGTCGTGATTTTGGAAATTACTTATGATTCTCTTTCGGTTCGTTCGAAGAGGTTGTGAATATTTGTTGATATCTTTAACCGTAACAGATGATTATTTGTAGGTATAATATGTGCATACCCCGTCGAGAATTGATAGTCGTGATTTTATGTGTTATAAACAGAAATCTGTGGTTATATTATGAAAAAAAAATAAGACAACCAATAATAGTCGTGGCTAATGTTCGGCATACTTGTAAGATTTTTTCGTCTATTTCTTTTTGTTATTATAACTCGTGTAAAGTCGGGGCAGGCCACAAGTGCTTATTGTATTATAATAAAGATATCGACACTGGATTAAGAAATTGGTAATCAAGATTTCAATTGCTTCAATTAAATTGTGTTTCAAATAGTTTTATATAATAGTTTAAGTTACGTAGGCTTCGTAGCGAGCGTAGCAATCGTAGCACTTCGTAGCAAGTACTCAAACATGTGTGTGTTTAGGTTCCTACCTCCGACGGTAACTGATTGTTCAGTCTTAGATGATATTAGATTCGATGATTTCTATAAGTGACTACTGATTAGTAATCGTTCCCATTTTAATTTAAAACTACAACCAAAATCTTGCTATCCTATTAAAGCAAATGATTTCCAAATAAATCAAAGTTGACTGCGCGGTTGGTGCGGCGGCCGTGCAACGTGTCGCGGGTTCGATTCCCGCACGCAGCAACTCTGTGATATACAGGTTGTTGTGATTCCGGGCCTGGGTGTCATGTGTATGTGAACTTGTATATTTGTTAACGTACCCACGACAGGAAAAAACAAAATGTGGGGCAAAATTTTATTAAAACAAAAACCGTTTAACAAAATAGAACCTAAAAATAGTTAATGATAACCAGAATTAGAACCGCAGTTAAATATGAAATAGATTATGGCGACGGAGTGACATTTTGCGGTGCTTCTATTTCTAAACGCAGGGTTTGAAGTAACCTACTATGTGGGGCTGCTATCAATGGTGATCATTTAGTGTTAAGTATATATTTTTTGTAACAGAGCTTAAAAGTATTTTTGGTGGTTGTAACATGGGATCCCATAACGTATTTTTTATTAATAACATAACGTAACATTACGCCTTTTATCCCCGAAGGGGTATGCAGAGGTGCACATTACGGCACTTAATGCCACTGTACAATGTAATACCCACTTTTCACTATTTATGTTATGAGTCCCATGTAACAGGGAGTGAGCCTATTGCCATATACCGGGCACATTGCCAGACTCCGTGCTACTACTTACTGAGATTTTTTTTAAACCCAGTTATACCTTGCCCGAGCCGGGAATCGAACCCGAGACCCCCAGTCCAGCAGTTACACTTGCGACTACTCGGCCAACGAGGTAGTCTCTCAGACTAATAAATATCTCGTAAAACATTAGACCCAAGTAATGGGTATATTTTTTCAATCTGGAATTTATTTTTATGCTTATTCAATACTAGCTTTTACCCGCGGCTTCGCTCGCGTCACAAAAGGATAAAAAGCCAATGTCACATATACCAATACACACAGCGCCATCTATACCAATACTTTTGTTTTCCCTCGGGAATATCAACTTTTTCCGGGATAAAAAGTACCCTATTATTTAATCCGGACTTCTAACTATACATCTGCAAAAATTCAAAGCAATCGGTTGAGTAGTTACGGCGTTAAAGTGGAACAAACAAACAAACTCACTTTCAGATTTATAATATAAGTAAGGATATAATGCAAGATCCTCGTCTATTTAAACCGTATTTATTCTAAGAAAATGTATGTATATACTGTTCCTATCAGAAACAATTAGCAACACCCTAATTTTCCGTTTAAAAAAGTAGATTTGTCAGACAATAAAAAGGTAATAATGCAATATTAATTAGACAAAGTGTTAATTAGTAAGTGCTATATTAAAACCATGATAAGTGTCATGGCGGACTCCAAATGACAGTAATATTAAGTCCATAGAGAATTGCGTTTAGTTTCAAATAAATTATCTATGTGACTACAATTTATGTTTTTTTATTGTTCCCCAACAAGGACGTCGCGTGTTGCCCACTTTTAAAATGTATGAAGAATGTAATTGACAATCTAAATATATATTTTAATTATTTTCTACATTTCTTGGTATTGCAAATTGTTTTCTAAACGTTTACTTGTATGAGGGAAATCGGTCAGTCAAAGTATTTCTCGTCGGGTGGCTCGTACGATACGAATAGTGCCTACAAATTACCTTACGTCTGGTGTTTCACCAAAAAAATCATGTCTGTATTTTTTTGTTTTTACTTTATACATCGAAAGCACTCCTTATGGCAAGTTTTTTTGCTGCAACACGAAAACAAAAAAGAATTCATGTTGTATTTAATGAATACTAGCGACCCGCCCCGGCTTCGCACGGGTGCAATATGTATGTATTGTCGCGGAGAACCTAACGGGTAACCGGGGCTCCGGCTCGACGTGCAGGAGAAGGAACGGGGTGGTTTTTAGGCAGTAAGAGTCTGACACTCCCTTCCGCCTCACCCAGGCGGGAGCAGTCATTCGATGATATTCCCCCCGTAAAAAAAATATGTATGTATTATACATATAAACCTTCCTTAACCCTTTGAGTACCGTCATTATAGACACAATTAAAGAACAATAGGTTGCGGTCACCGGTGTCGTCACGGTGTTTGACAGTTTAAGAATCACTCTATCTATTAAAAAAACCGCATCAAAATCCGTTTCGTAGTTTTAAAGATCTAAGCATACATAGGGACAGACAGACGGCGGATAGTGACTTTGTTTTATACTATGTAGTGGTTTTAAGTCCATTGATCAATAATTTTAGGTTTAAAAATTACGACTAAGGCCTATATATGCAGACATTGTGTTTTTTAAATAAATATGTTTCAACAGTTGACGTTTGAGTCACAAACTACATTACAAAGTATAATTTTTATAACCCTTCAAGTAAGATGCGGTGGACGTCATACCGCAGCGGTGTGACTGTCACACCGTAGCGTAACAATTCAATTAGTGTAAGCACAGAGTAAATAAATTAGGTGACTTTCTTTTTTTTATGGAATAAACCGGTAAAAGAGGAGGCGGATCACCTGATGGTAAGCAATCGGCATCGCCCATGGACACCCAAAATACCAGAGTCGTTACAAGTGCGTTACTGGCCCTATAAGGAATAGGAATTTGAGGATTATTAGGGATTCGGGGATTGGAGAGATATGGATGGGGTGTAATTGGGCCTTCGGTAACCTCACTCACACGACGAATCACAATGCAAGTGTTGTTTCACGTCGGTTTCGTCTTCTTCTATTGACTTCTAAGACTTTTCTTTTATTGGAAAATTACAAGAATTTTGTTAGTTGTGTTGTCAAAATTTTCGACAAGTTTTCAGTTCATTTATTTTAGATCAGGGTTGCTATATTCATTGACAGACAGATAGACTAGTTACTTTCATATTTTCTAAATGACATCGTGTAGTTTATTCCTTCCACGAACGAAAGATTCGCTTGCATAGACTTCATATAATCGAGTACTTCTGTCGTACTACTATAGTTTTCCTAATAAAACCAAATAACTATCTGACTAATTAGCCTTCAATTATTTACATACCATCCCATGTTACATCATTATAAAACAATAAAAACCGAAACAAAAAAACGTCACACCATAACGAAATTAGAAAGAAGGTTTAATTCTAATCTAACCGTTTGATCGCTCGCTACGGTGTGTAAGCCGGCGGAATTAACACTGTGTTGCGATTAGCATGCAAAGGGTTAACTTTAGTTAACACTAAACTTTATGTGAGATCGTATCGGTCAAATGGGCAGCTGCTCCATCTTGTTAGGTTTTGGAACATACGTTAGACTGTTAGATAGACTTTTTGGTAGTTTGTGGGTTCTGTACTGTTCTAAGTATATTACGCATGCGTGCGTGCATAACCTCACGCCTGTCTCCCATGGGTTAGGCAGAGACTATGGAACGCTAATTGCTAGGATTCTTATATACTTATTTCGCTTCATCAACAGTCATCAATCTTTTCATGCATGTTCGTCGGCTAAGGGTTCTTTTAATTCGGTCCTTCTTTAATATCTGTGCGATATATATCCGTCTAGGGCGATTCTTTAGGTAAATTAATTAATTGTAATATTGATTAAAATAAGTATTCGTTCTTCCACTCATTCTTGTAAAGCTGACCGATTTTTTTTTAAAGTTCCCATCTGTCTGTGCATCGGTTTGTGACATAATTTAGATTATACCTGGTGAGAGATTTTTTAAACAAGATGTATTACTTAACCTAACTAGATAACAAAATAATGTAAAAGTATGGTAATGTTTTTTTACCAAATTACTACATTTGCAACAAAAACAGATTTAAATTATTATGTTTTCGGCTCACTCACGTAATTATTTGACGAGGAACTCGACTAGTTTCAAGTCATCCTAGAAGCTCATATTCATTTATTCATTCATTTATATAATACCAAAAAAAACTGATTTCATGGCTTTTATGTAAACGTGCACTTTACACGAAAATAAAGCATTCAATTTTTATTAAAAATTCATTCAATACATTATAATTCACCGCCATAATAGACAATATTATGACACAGATAAAAAAAGTGTTTCAACACAAGCTTTTTAATTAAAAAAGTAAAAAGAGACACAGGCGAGGCGTTGTAAAAAGCTAATCGATATAAAGTATCGGTTACACATCGAT